CAGCCAGGACACGCAGGGGCGTGGTTCCCATACATGATGTTGTACCGAGTGAATTGACTGAAAGGGAACACAAAAATCTTTAGGTTTCAACTGGATATCTAAATCTTGAATAAACAAAAATACAAAACTGGCCATAAATTAGAGCCCCTTTGATCCACTGCTGTGTTTGTTGACCCGGATTAAGACCATCAAACTCTGCACTTAGACCTACTCTTCACCTGTATATGTTGTTTATTGCACATGGCCACAGCAGCTTTATCTGACCTCATTTTCCACACCTGAAAAACTCTCGCTTCAAGGTTCACCGAGATACAATTTTGGAGATGCGCTGGTATTTGCGTTTCGTCATTCGCTCCGAATGTCGTAAAAAACACACCGTGATCGAACAAATCTATCAAAGCAGCTTTAGCTTCTGTAAGGGCATACTCTGACCCGGATATCACTGATAGATTAAAGCATTTGAAGAGCCGAGTCACGAGTTGAACTGTTTAACATCAAACACAAACAGGATTCAGAGTTTGTCCCACTTACTGTCACATGTTTTCCTATAGGATGGAAATGAATTTGTCTTGGGAGGAAGAGTGGCAACACGATTATACGTGAAAACCTCAAGAACACGTTGCAGGAACTGATTYAAAGAAGTATGAATATTCACGGCAACAATAAACCTAAAGCTTCCAGACAGAAATTTGTCACTGCCAAGTGAAGTGAAAAAGCCAAAACGGGCAAAGAAATTTGGAAGTCAAGAAGCTGCTTAAATTTGTTTTATGAAACGCTTCCAATCGTTTCACAAAAACTTTACTTCATAGACCCTGCAGTAATATAATCTTTAATTTGACAAGAAGAGAACAAAATGTTGGCTACAGTTTCCATCTGAGGGTAGCTAAACTACTGCAAAACACACCTGAAAACTTTTAATATTAGTCCTAGTTTTTTTGTAGACAAAGAAAAGCCTTTCTGCTGTTGCTCTGAACTAAACCAAATAAGAGTAGGAGTAAATATAAAATAAGCTTAAAGTAGAAATCTCATTGCAAACTTGTAATTTCAATCCATGTTTTTAACGCAACCACATAAACCAAAGTTACACAAGTCCCTGAAAAAATAAATGTACATCTTTTTTATGTAGAGGGGCCAAAGCAAGTATACCTTTCTTATAAGCGCAGCCCTGGCAGTAGTGCGAGCCAGCCTGATGAACCGAGCTCTTACAGATCCTGCAGATAGCAAAGCCTGTCTTGCTGTACGGGTCAAACCTGAAAAAAAGCAAGCAACACACATTACGTCATTAGTGTTATGCAGTCACATCAGCAGCTTATTTTAAACCAGAAAGTGAGCAATGCTAATGTTTTATCATTAGATAAAATATATTTTTATCTTGTAAACACACTCACCTGGCTTTCTTAGATGTCAACATCTTGTTCTCGTTTAGCTTACGCCCTCCACTCTCTAAAACCCACAAAAATAAAAACAGGTACTAAATTAAAAACAACTAATTAAAAGCTGTTATTCATCTTAAATTTTGTGGTTGACAAAGACATGTTATTACTAAGTGTACGTCTAGGTTCACCTGTGGTATTCCGTGCTCCGTCCTTCCAGGTGTCAGGAGTGATTACCTTTCCGAGCTTCTTCTCGCCTGAAAAGACAATCAGAGGAATGTTGAGGGGAAACCATTGTTAGCATGACGTAAACAAAGTTCACTACGTTTACGATTTCACAAAGTTACAAAGTTTGAAGATCATAAATAACTATCATACATACATTTTTCACAAACCATCTTCGCGATGTGCTTGTTTACACGATAAAAACAAAGGAAGCCCGATGGCTAGCTTCTACTAGCTTGGTTCACGTAAACTTCCGGTCAATTGTGGCGTCTTAAATCACTATTGGTTGAGCCTTTTGCGTCAGACCACAGTTAGTAAAAGGCTTTATGATTGGTCAACCAAAGTAGACTTCCTGTGCTGCTTTTTCCCTTTTAACTAATGTGTTTGTTCACTTTATTTAAATACATATTATATAAGACGATATATGAAATAAAATTAACCTTTTTAAATCTGTTTATTTWCTCCTCTATGCCTAAACATTGTTTGATTTCTGCTCTTTGGACTTTTATTGTGAAAGCGGAAGTCCGTGTCGCTTTGTGTTTACGGAAATGCACTGGAGAAAGTGAACTGGCTGCATTCTGTCCGATGTTCCTTTAGGTTTTTGAGTTGTTTTCGTATTTTTTTCCACTATTTGTCACCTTCCTGTTGTAGACAGGTAACGTTCTCATCATGTGGGACCATGAAATCAGAGCCATGGCGTCCACTCACGCTGTCATCGCCGCCTCTGTGTTCATGGCCACGGTCATCCCAGTCATGTTCGTCCCTGGCTTCTCGGTGTACGGAACCCACCTGCTGTGGATCTACTCGGTGTCCGGGTCCGTGTCTGCGGTCAGTGTCGCCGTCTTCTGGCTACTCGGTATCTCACCGCCAACCAAGAAGCACACGCTGGGATACAAGGTGAAAATACTGATAGATGTCACGTTTAAGGTTGTCAGAATTATTTATGTCTACATGTGAGAATCTAGGTCAGGGACATTTGTTATAGTTTTTCAAGGGTCAGACATTCAACTTTAAAAAGTCTCCATTGAAAATAAATAAATAAATAAATAAACAAGTGTGAGAAATACAGACATTGTTCAAATGAGATTATTAGTTGTGTTACTGTTTTTGTGTATTTGACTGTACAACGACACCCCAC